GTGTGTGTGTGTGTGTGTGTGTGTGTGTGAGAGAGCTTCTTACTTCTTAAACTGTTCCTGGAAGCGATCTCTGTGGCCCTGGAGAGTGTCTGCTGGAAGGCCTGGAGGTGAACACAAACACAAACACATGAGTCCTTGGCCCTGCAAACTGTTTATATACAGTATATTGTGGGATGCATGCATACTCATAGAGAAAGCGTTCTTACTTATCTATTAAATAAAACTAATCAGTTCACCCTTGAGTCCAACTGAACATTTAAACCAAATTTAAAGACATTCCCTCAATGCGTTCTTGAAATATCATGTTCCCAAGAATGGGAGGAACAACCCAAAAACACCAACCCCCGGCCGCTGACTGCACCGATACAGAGGCGTAATAATTGCAGATACTTGTGTTCAGACCCGGATGTTTGTGTGTGAGAGACTCACAGGAGTGCAGCTTAAACAGCAGCTTCACGGTGTAGTCATACAGGTGGCTGCAGTCCAGGATGACTTGGATGAGGGGAGCCAGGCGACACTGACCTGCTGCCGTCACAGACACCGATCGGGACATGTCAAGAGAGCTGAACACTGGGACAGGAGACACACACACACACAGAGCAGATCAATAGATGTATTCACACGATCAATGTTGACAGATACAGACTTGTGTGAGGCCGGTTCAGACCTGGTGTTAACATCCACCCTGAGAGATCCAATCACAAGTGGATGGTTAAAAGTTATGGGTAGTTCTAAGTTCTACCCACTCTGAGTATAAAGATGTGTGTGTGTGTGTGTGTGTGTGTGTGTGTGTGTGTGTGTTTGTGTGCATAAAAATGCATTTGATGTTTCATTGTGAAACTGTAGCGGGTCAGAGGACGTTAGTTGAGAAACGGTCCATTGGATATGGCGTCCTAACCCTAACCCCACTGAATGTGGTCCGAGCTGGACGCATTGGGGTTCCTTCAGATCTGTACTTGAACTGACCACTTGTGATGGATCACTCAGGACAGGTGCTAATACCAGGTCTGGACCAGGTCAAAGAGATATTCATGCATGAGGCTCATCAGTCACAACTTTTTCATCAACTTGCGCTGCTGTGCTCTCTGATCACTTCACTGCCTCGGGCCACTAGACCTGACTAATGAAGTATGTGAAAGAAACCACAGCTCAAAAGGCAGGTTTATGTGTGGGCGGAACGTGAAACACTAACGCGCTTGTTAGCGACTCTGCTTCCATCGTTACACCCCGCCTTCCTTTCCCTGCTTTGCTGCCTCACAGCATCTCCAGAGCCAGAGCCTGTGCGTGCTCTGCAGAGGTGTGGTTTCCTGCACAGCTTAACACACACAGACACATACACACACGAACACAGTCACACCTCAGGCCTGGAATCTTTACTCTTAGATGACGTGATGCTTTTAAAATACTCCAAACCGGGGGAGGAAGCTGACAGCAGCCTTGGGTTGTGAGTGTGATTTAACAGACTCATGTGCAGTGGATTTTTTTGGGGGTATGAAGCAAAAGATTGGTCATAGAAATATTAAACTCAGGACACATGGAGTAAAAATTGCTTATTTTGTCCTGAACACAAATGCAGAGATACAACTTTGGCAAGTGTTTCCATTTCTCTAGAAAGAAGAAAGAAGGAAGAGGAGGGATCCTCTTCCATCATTAGGATGCAGAATGAAGACCTGGAAAAATAGAGTCCACAATGCAATTTCCTTTTTGAAGGGGTGTGTGCAGCGTTAACAGCTTTTCTTCTGAGCTCCTGGTCACATCCCAGCCGTCTATTTTTAGCTCGGGCCGTACTTTAAGAGACATTAACCCGGGATGACTCACTCAGACAACAACAGAGGGAGAGGACATGAGTGACCTCTCACTGGCTCGCATGCACTCAGAGGAGGAGGAGCTGTGATGGTACTGATGATAACATCTGCCCACAACCGTCCGTCGGTGTTTGTCTCTGTGCGGTACAGCTATGACTGCGGCTGTCAATGGTGTGAACATGTGTGTGTGTGTGTGTGTGTGTGTGTGTGTGTGTGTGTGTGTGTGTGCGCGTGTGTGTGTGTGTGCGTGTACATCGTCACAGGTTTACTGCAGACATGAATAACTCACCACTAAGGAAGAGGTTGAGCTCACACTCCAGGTAGTCAAACATCTCTACGGTCAACTGAAAGCTAGAGAGAGACAGAGAGATTACACTTTTATGATGCTTTTAGTAACACACAAGTCTCAATGACTTCAGAGGACATTAGTTGACTTTCATTGATTTCCTGGAGTCTTGCTTTAAACTTAACCATAGTTTTAATAGTCTTATCCATGGTATTTGACTAAGCTTTACCCCAAACACAAACCTATTATAAAGCTAACATTAACTTAACCTGAAAACATGTCTTCAACATATAATTTAATGATTTACGTGACAGAGAATTACTTTTGGTCTTCATAAGGGAGTCAAGTCCCCATAATGTAACTGTAACATAAGTAATTGTGTAATCAGATTTAGGTCCCTGCAACATGAGTAATACCTGGACTACACACACACAGACACACACACACACACACCTACACTTATCCATAACCCAATCTTAAACCTGAACCTAACCCTGAAATCAAGTCTTCACCCTCAAACAGCCCTTTGAACGTAGGACAGGAAGTGAGGACCAGACAAAATGTCCTCATCAATGTCCTCGCTCTATGAGGTCTAGGCTGAAAATGGCCGTCACTAAGACATAAGTCCAAATACACGCACAGAAACATTGTTTAGTTTGTGCAGTTTTTTTCTGTTAATCATTCTCAGATGGGTTTTCTCCTGTTTCCTGTTATTGAAGATCAGAGCAGCTCAGGCAGATTAAAGTTTTATAAAATCTCTAATCTAAAGTCTTTCTCTAAACATTTGCTTCACAACAATACAAAGTTCCTTCCTGTGTTCTCACTGCCTGAGTCACCTTCTGTAAATCTGGAAGTAAAAAACTCCACACCTGTGTTTTCATTTTATTTGCACGTCACATCGATCTTTGTATTAATCTGATTCATTTTAGATTTGAGGTTTTTTCTCTGACGTTTGATTTCACGACCGTCTGAGGAACAAACGTTATAACTCTACTATTATAATGAATTGAATCCTAAAACATGTCCATCATTTTAAATCTTTAATCTGATCTTGTCGCAGAATGACACTTTAAGGCTGTTTTCAAATGACCAGCTTCATTTGTCTTATTGCTGTGTCATGATTCCAATTTTCACGCTGTTTCATTTCCTTTCTCATTTCAGTTAAGGCTCATTAATATGGAGGACAAATATGAGTCGGGCCAGCACGGCCATTCTTCTCAACAATAACAGCAGCAGCACGACACACTCACAAGTTGTTCACGTCGTTCTCTCCCGCCTCGTCAAGCTGTCTGTTTGACATCTGCAGGTTGCCAGGGAAACGAGGGTTCTGAAAGAGAAGATACAGGAGAGGAGGCTTTAAAAATCATATCACACACAGTTCAGCTCTACAGCTACTTCTCTGTGCAGGAAGAACACAGTGGATTATCTAGAGGGTTTTTACAGCCGTCAACAAACATGGTACCATGAGAGCAGAGAGCATAAAACCCAAATATCAAAAGAATGAGCTGAAAAAGTCAGTGTATAGTTCCGTGTGGAGGCAGGTGATAAATATCTGTGTTCATCACTAGGAGCGCTCATATTCATACACACAAAATTGTTGTAGATCCAAATATAAATCTGGATCAATGTGGTTCATAAAAGGTACTGTTGGGCCTTGGCTGGTACGTGCTCTTTTTAGATCTCTGCCTCTTAAAAGTTAATATGAGACAGACGATTGTTGATTAACTGACCTTTATGAAGTGTGTGATGAGACAGTTTGTGTTATTTCTGCCCCTGTGAGTGCAGGAGGTATTTTAATTGATGCACAGAGCTGACTGACATGTAAGAATATATTGCAACAAATTTGGCGAACACTAACAACAGAGATGTGAAATCAAAGTAGACCAGAGGGTTAATATGCCACAAGTGTCACATTTCACTTTTGAGATTCTCCAGTTGCACCCTACCCTCACTGTAAGAATTAAGTTCTAGCTTTCAGCAACAACTAACCACATCTTCCTGTGATTGCATCAACACTGGTCCCTGAACCACCGCGCTCAGCTGTCTCATAAAAAGGCCACATTACAGTTTCTCAAGAGGCCATTAGTGTAAAAGCCAGAATTCTCTATGAAGCCGCCACCCCTCCCCAGCCCACCTGCAGAGACACACTGGCACTAAAAGGAGTGTCTGAGACAAAGATAATAAGTGGCGAGGGAGGGAGACTGGCGCTGGGTTTTATAGGCTGTGCCGATGACTCACTTTGATGTGAAACTCCATTTTGGTGATGAGCAGTTTGAGGTAGATGCTGCAGAGCTTCCCGTAGCCTTCGCTCAGGTGACCCTGTGGGAGGAGAGGAGAGGGGCAGCAGAGAGACGTTAAGAGAAAGAAGAGGAGAGACGTGATCAAAGCCAGAAAATTGAATTTCCTCCTAAATGATTGGCTGTTTGAAGTCAAGGGACACTCTCTTACTGCACAGGCACTAGATACAGTTTTTTTTCCAGCTCTGTGTGAACAAAGTTGAACATCCCCAGATAATCGGCCAATTGCCTCTCATTTCTGTTTTTTCTCTCGAGCCTGGGAGGAGATGACACACAGGAAAGAGAGGCTGCAACCTCAGTCACTGGGACCCAACTTCCTGTAACCTCCTGCCTGTTGACATCAGCAAAAACTGAGTCATGAAAAAAAGGAGCATCGAGGTCCCCGCCCAAGTCACTGCTGCTAATCAACAGTAAATATTATCTATGAGCTGAGTGATCTCTCAATTTAGTCAATGCAGCTCTGTGTATTTAAAAACAACTGATGTTTTGAAATGTAAAATATGTCTCTCATGTTCTGACTAATTTCTGAAATTACAAAAGAAGGAACAGGTTCACTGAAAAACAGGATGTGATTTTAGCTGTGATCATCATCATACTCACGCAGGGGCGAGGGATGAGATTAATATCAGCGAGCATGACGGGTCATATTAAAAACAGCCCACTTGATTAAATGTTCCACCGGCAGAGAGGCAGAAGGTCGTATTCCTCAGACTGGTTTGGCTTCACGCTGAGACGTGAATAGATGTATATAAAAATCTGTGCGTTCTTACCCACATCCTGCTCATATCCGTTAAATCAGCCTTGTTCCTCATGGAGTCCTTTATCACCTGCAGGGACGACAGCAGACACAGAGAGCATGGGTAAGGAATTAGAAAAACTAAATAGAACTGATGAAGTTTATTCGACTAGATGATGATTCTGTTCTCTGGTTTTGCAGTCGTGTCATCGTTACGTACGTTTGGATGTCCGTCTCGCAGCAGCTTGTGGAAGACGTGGCAGAACTTCCAGCAGAGCACAGCGTTGCTGGAGAGAGGGAGCCGGTTGACGGCTGCCCAGAAGGTATGGGCGCCCTTTTCATGATGGGTCCCCAAGATGCAGGGTGAGGCGGCAGTCAAGGATCAAAGGGTTAACGTGAACGACATTGTTCTGTGTCTGGATCTTGACTGATGTAACATTAAATCTGTGAAATGCCAAATCATCTTGATTGCCCCCTAGTGGCTGGCTGCAGTATAGGTCATAGGTCCTGTCTCCTCCATGTAAGTAGACAGGAGAAGTACACGTCAAATCCATTTTTCTCAAAGATGGTTTCGGTCATGTAAGGTAGCTCTTATCACACTCATGTTTGTTCAAGTGTTAATTTTGGTTGTAAATACTTATCTGATGCTAGAAAATCAGGCTGTGACTGAGTTGCAATTGGACGAGTGCGTGAATCGACAGGAACTCGATAAAACAGCTCCACACCATGATCACTACTTTCTACTCTTCTTCCTCTGTTCACAGAGATTTGAGTCTGAAGAATAATCTTTTTTTAATATAAGTTTAAATACCTCCATTACTAGAATTTAATATCTCACAAAAGCTGCCTGGTCCACCCGTGACAAAATCAGCCACGTGGAGAAGATGGGGTTACAACAAGTTTGTTGTTCTGATTTTGCACTAACATAACCCCGGCAGCCACAGAGGAAACACACACACACACACACACACACACACAAAAAACATAAGGATATTCCTGGCATGCTTCTCTTTGACAGCGACCTCCTGTGTGTTGATGGCCTTATTGATGCTGACAGCCTGTGAAGAGGAGAAGAGGAAGAGAACACAAATCAGCACAGTTTTATTTTCTCATCGATTGCAGAAAAAAACTTTAAAGTGTAAAGTGTTCTATTTGAACACAGACACACATGCACACCTTGTGCGACCACCTGGGGACTGAGAAGCAGCAGAGTTTTAGTAAAGGGTGATTGACCCATTTTCTGCAGAGTTGGTATTCAAGGCAGCGCCTGAGAGGCCTGAGCTGCTTTTAGGAGCTCGACAGCCTCAGAGGCAAACAGCTGTCTGAGACGTGTGTGCCATCACATCTCTCTTTACATGTCCCACCTGCACAATACAGCCACCAGTTCAAATGAGAGAAGAAGCGGAAAAGACAATGATACGTTCATGGAAAAAGGTAAATATTCAGAGCTCAGATTGTAAAATACATGTGAGGTCAGAGTGAGGATATAAATACATCACTGAAACAAACAAAGTCTACACTCACATTCAAAAGGAAAGAAGGAAAGAACCCAGCATTGGTGAAAACAGTTTACAAGACTGTCATCACACTAATGCCCCATTTACACCTGCATTAAAATGGGTTTTGGATGATCTGATAGAGTTTGACGCATTAAAGTACAGGTGTAAATTCCGATCTAACAACATTGTTGAGGTGATCAGGGACGCACAAGGACAGTTTTGAAGTGTGAGCAGAACTGCTTTGTCCTTCCGCATACAACAACTACGTGGGTGGAAAATAATCACATGCAACTGTTCCATCCCACTGACATAGCAGCAGGTACACAGGTAACAGATGTTAGCCAAATACCGGATGTATCCAGGAAGCAGGCATCTTCATGGATGTATCCTCTGGGAACAACCAGTTTGTACCAAATGTTATCGCCGTCCAAGTAATACTGCCAAGATGTTTTGCTCCAAACCAAAACTGTCGATCTCAGTTTAGGAAAAGTCGGGGGATCATCACAGTCAGTGGTATTCAACTTCTGGGGACCATGAATACAGGTAAGAAATTTTACAGCAAGATGTCTAATCAACTGACCGCCTGATCAGACCATCCCAACAGCCAGTGTGACTAAGAACCATACTTCTTCTTTATGTCCCATCAAGGACATTTTAGAACAGCTGCATTGTATACATATGAACTCTGTTCCTGCTTTCAGTTCCAGACTTGCATTGTTTCACACGCGTTCTGTAATAGCTGGCTTACAAATTATCGCACATAAGAAGAAAATCACACCAAAATGATCATGATTCTCCCATCCCTTAAACTCTAAATGAATGAATGAATGACTCCAACCAAACTTAAAATAATCACAAGACTTAAGACAAAACATGCATTTAGCCATATTTTTTCTTGCACTGTATCATGACTGTGAGCTTGGTGGCTGGGGTCAACAGAGGACGGGAGGCCTGTTTCATAACCTCACTTCCCACAGATGTCCTGAGTCGGCTCCTCCTCTTCCAGCATGTGAGCTGTCAAGACTGGAAGTTCAACGTCAGGAGGAGGAGGAGGATGAGGAAGAGGAGGAAGAAAACAAAGGAACGGAGGGAGGAGGAAAGGGAGTCTGCTAAAATGATTAGTAAAGACAACATCTGCAGAGCAAACAAACAAATATGCTACACCATGTCACAGACCAGTTTGAAGCCGAACATTAAGGAAAATCACTCAAGAATAAAAGCTCAAAGCTCAAAATAAATATGGGATTAGAGAAAAACAATCTGCTTCAAATTTCAGATCCTCTCTTCTCAAACAACTGTGTGATCCCCATGACATTTCAGCTTCAGCTTGTATAAAAAAATCTAACTTGAGAGAGAAATTCAGTTGAAGTAATTCACTAAAGCTGAGGGAGTGTGAGGAGCGGGAGGAATGTGGAGCTGGCTGCTGTTTTGACATCTCAGAGTCTGAATTCCCCATCGTCAAACCCATCTGTGCTCACGTATGTAATCCCGCCGAATACGAGGAGACGCCACAACGTGACGACCGAGCCGCCACGCCTGAGATTTACCAGGCACAGAGTTGGCTACACATGAACTCTGGAGCTACGAGTCCAACACCTGTCCTGTTGGATCAGCTGCACAACCTGAGCCATGAGTGTGTGTGCGTCAGTCCTGTAAAGGTCAAACACAGCGGGGCTCACACTGTCCTCACTGTGCAGCAGCGAGCTGAAATAAGGCTGTTTCCTCTGACCGAGAGCATAAAGCAAAAGGTCACCGGGTTAAAATCTGCTTTCGAAGAAGTTATTTCCTCCTCCTGAATAAACTTGGCTCTGGGCTCGTCAGCACAAATCACAAGTGAGTGGACTGATAATTGGACCCAGTTTTCATTCAGGGAGACATTAGCAGATTCCTGTCGGGCCTCTGCAGCACTCCTGCAGTCTTATCTCTACATGAACACTTTTACAATACAGGATGCATTGAAACAAAGGTGTGTGTAGATGTTGACCTCAGACCAATAAAACTGCATATCTTATTGTTAAATCTCATCTATAGTTAGGGTAGAAGACATTTCAACATTTAGCATGATGTAGTTTTGCAGTTAAATGCATTTACACAAAAATATGAATTCAATCTATGCATCATGTCCATTGGTAGCACAGAAAACTAAAGTTCAAGTCTCTCAGTATAAAAGGTCCTTTTAAACAAAATACTCTCAACTCAAAATCAACCTCGATAAACACTTTTAGTCTGTTCACATCTGTCAAGCATCAGCACAGAGGGAAGTGACTTCTGTGTCACGTCCTGTCACTGCCCAGTTTGTTAACATGTCATAACAACAAATGGGGACATTATCTCATGTTGTCATCGGTACAAGGGTCACACCAGTAAAGATATCACAAGGCTTGAATGTTTAGATTTTTAGTATCAGCTGGTGCCAGACGTTAATGTCATTTAGAAGAAATATCAATTACATCACTTTTCACTGTTTGTGTCTTATGTCCACATAACTGAAGAGATGATTTAGAAACACCCAGTGTGACTGGTTCCCACATGAGGATGACCCATTTAGGCCACAGTGAGACTTTGTACTTTGTGTTTGGGTTGAATGAGCTGCCAGCTGCCGAGCACTGGCATTAACCGAGGTGACTAGCTGGCATCAATGGTTATCAATTAGTTTCTTGTAGTGAGGCCACGCCACACCAGCCGATGAAGTGAAATGAAGTTGAATCGGAGTTAAGAAGTGAGTAATGATGGAGATAGAAAGCAGAGGTAAGACCAGAGGGACTGCTCCTTAGATTTCAACAGAAACCTGTGTCACTGTGTCCTCTGAGATCTTTGCTTTGCTCTGCTTTCTGTTCACCCTTCCCTCTTTTTAAGCTACTCAGTAATCATAAATAACCAATCAATACTGCCGAATACAAAACTCCTCTTTGTATCTTGGTATTTCCAGGAACATCTTTTTCCAACCCCTGCAGCTTTGCTTTCAAACAAAGTGTTATTGATAGTGTTGAAAGCATGTTAAGTCAGGCCTGGCAAGCCCCAATCGGCCGTTCTGTGGAAAGGAAGGCATTGATATGCTGATCGTAGCCTGGCTGTGTCCACTGAAGGGCCAGCGTCGAGCACAGGGAGAGAAGAAGCATCGTCTGCCTGCTAAGTGACACAGCCTTCACCCACTGACTCACTTCCCCCCCCTCTGCCTCGCTTCTCAGAGGACATGATTACATGGAAAACAATGTTTTGATATTAACGTGATTGATGATCTGGATAAGACACTGACATGTAAATGTCTTAAACCAAATGAGGTTATTCTCAGAATAAGCAATAATCAAATTACCACCAATGGAGAATTATGACCTTAGTCACATTATGAATAATATGCAGACATGTATACATCCGGTCGTCTTGGAGTTCTCACAGCATTTCAAGACAGCGATATGTACGGATGTTCCCAACTACTTGAACTACTTTCCCATTAATTATCGGCAGTGTGGCAGCCCGCTGCATTCTAATTTGTCCTGCCACAGTTTCATCATGAACAAAAACATTTTTCACTCTTCTCATAATATCACAAGACAGACACATGGTGTGTGCACTGTGCAGGACTATGGTCCTTTCCTTTTGTATGTAAAGACAGAATAAATGAGGCTTTATATATGAACAGGAATGTGAATGGAACACTCAATTAGCAACTTATGTAAACATCATAATCAATATAATGTATTATTCAGAAAAAGGTCAACAGTCAGATTACTGGTGTCCATGTAAACGTAGTCAGTGACTCCTGTGATTTGTCTCTGCAATCTCCTAGTCCTAAAGTCCTAAAGATATGTCATCGCATCATGATGGTAGCAGAGCGGAGACAGCACTTCTGGAATTTTCCGTCGTTGCTGTGGCACAAACCCTCAGCCAGTGGTCGTTCAATCACGAGAATCTGACTGTGGAAAACCTCCAAACCAGAGCGAAATGAAAGGAGAGACAGTGAATTCAGAAACACTTGTTCTCCCTGGATTGAAATATTCTCATGGTAAAAGAGACGGAGGAGGTATCCTTGTGTGCCCCGAATGATTTAGTGTGGGAGTGGAGTGATCAGTCAAAGTTAACGTTCTATGATTAACTGACCCAATCATTTGAGAAAGGAACATGATAGACTGAGCGTTTTAGCTTCACTCTTTCATCAAATCAGTGTTTCTTACTGGTTCCTATCTGAATCTTTCTATAAAGAAAGAAAGACTCTGACAAACAATACACAGAAAGACTGGGACCCAACTGGGATTCAAACCAGGAACCTTCTGGCAAAAGAGCTAACCATTGTATCACCATGCAATCCCATTCCATCTCAATACATTCAATATCTGATGTTTCTGTCCATCTTGATGGAATGTCCTTTAAGCTTGTGAATTGTGCTGTTAAATGCACGTCACAGTCCTATCAGACTACATCCGTGAATAAAGTATTCCAAACAAAGACCCTTTACATTTAGCCTTGAGATTTTAGTTGAACTGAACAGTGTTTCAGGTGCCTAATAACGGGGGCGGGTGGAAACAGTGCTGCTGCTCAGACTTGTCGAGTCACCATGCTGT